AAAAGCAGCTGCATGAATTCTCCACACTCACACCACCTCTGTCCTCCAGCCCTACAGTGTTTGTTGCTTCATGGCTCCAGGAGCTACAGGGTCCTCCCCAGGCATGGCCATCACAGCCCTCCAGAACAAGCAGTCTTGTTAAATCAGTGGACCTAGGTGGCTTAAAGCTTTCTTCACTACTTCCCTGTGTGTTAAAGTGTTACCTCAACAGGCGTCTGCTGCCAGAGGTCCCTTCTTGCCCTCAGCAAGAGGACTAGGCCAGTTCTCCTTCCACCTCAGAGCCCTGCGAACAGAGAGAAGAGGCAACCACAAGCCAAGTGTGCACCAGGGATATATTTTATGTTTTTCTCTCTAGAGAACAGCTTTCCATCAGTAGGAGGTCTCCCTTCTCTACTTTCAGCTGTGCCCCATAGCTCTTGCCCAAGCCATGGAGAAGCGGGTGAGCAGCAGATACTCCTACAGGGATGGTATGGAGGCAGTGGGCGGTGTGAATAGACTTTAGTGTACTTGTGCATAAGTGCACCAGCATTTCTCTCCTTACATGGGCTTTTTTGCAGGCATGTGGAGGATGGGAGTGTTTTTTGTTTGTTTGTTTTTGTTTTGTTTTGTTTTCCAAAACAGTGAAATCTCATCATTGCAAGTAACAGTTAGCACTAGCCCACCTGTGTACTGCCTGTGTAAGTGCAATCCTGTGGAAACTTTTGCAAAGCATAATTTCAAGGCTAAAATATCCCAAAATAATACCAGACATCAAACAGCAAAAGGAAACACTGGCCAAGATCCTCTGATCTTCACTGAAGTTAGATTGAATTGCACTGTTAGATTTTCTGAGAACTTGCCCATTTAAGCAAAGTTTTAAAATGTTTTGGAAGGGATGGTAAAGCTGTCTCAGATGTATTTTTCTTCCTCTCCTGACTGAAGAAACAGTGGATCATATATATCTGGCCAAATATAGACACTCATAGTGCAGGCCTGTCTCAGCGTCCTGCTCTTGGCTGTTTACCAACACCAGACCCTGCCTATCTTGCCTGTCATGTTAAGCTCAGTTCCTCCATGAAGATGCCTGCCAAATGAGATCCCTCTATGGTTTGAGGACAAATGGGCAAGTGGCACCTGGTGGAGAGAGGAGGGACAGCACTCAGGTGGGGCGGCCAATCTCCGTGTGCTGCTCTGGGCTGTGGGCCACCACCAGTGGAGCGGTAGTTCAGACCCTCATTACCATTTAATGAAAGATTATCTTGGGTGGTGCTGATAGTACCTCAGCACTGCCGGGAAACCTGAGCACAGCTCCCAGCACAGTGTGTTAGAAAGAAACTGAGCATCACTTTGCTTTGGAGATACATGTGATCGGTTTTTAGTGAGTGCTGCTTTAGAGAAGCAGCAATACAGCTGAGAGCAGAATACGGCTTAGGCTGCTATTAGCCTTAGGGAAGTCCCTCTAAATTACTGGCAAGCCAAAATGTTGCTAACATATTTAGAGTTTTGCCTGAGGTCAATTTTTAGCATGGGCAGCGAACTCCTGTTGCTTTGTGTTTACTTCCCAGAGTAAGGGGTCGTAGTGGTTACCCCATCACAGACTGAAGCCTGCTGTTGGGCCCTGTGGGGTGAAGGCATCTGTCCCAGGAGGAGTCCCAGCTTGCAGAGGTGGAACCTGGGTCCTTCTGATTAAGGAGCAGGCATGATTTGAGTTGGAGGTCCTTCATGTTGCATAACATGGGGACGGGGACAGTGATCTCAATCTGCTGCCCATCAGCAGTCATCTGGTGAGAGCAACAGAGAGCAACAAGACACTTTGGTTCTCGTAAAAAAAATCAAGATTGAAGTACTAAGATGTGACTACCTGTCGTGGACTAGACCACCATCACAGGTGGCTCTTTCCAATCTATTACAGCTCTGAACAGTAATTGTAGGGATTTTGGTGAAATCGAACAGGACTTGTGCAGTGGTGAAGGAGGCCTTCAGGTTTGCTGAAATTTTAGGAGCAAATTTCCTAGGGAAAAGAGTTTGCCTTTTCCTTCTCCTAACCTCCCTGGTTATTGCTGGCTGATGTGGTTATGGAGGTTGGGCCACTCTGACAAGCTCCCTGCTCCAGCCCAGTCAGTGGGCAACCCTCAGAAACCTCCCAAAAGTCTTCAGTCTCCTTGTGTGCATCCCTGATATAGCCGATCTGTTCAGTTTAGCTTTGAAAACCATATTGGTCCCAGCTCAGCTTTTGATCCGCACTGGAAAGATGTTGCAATGTTAAAGTGTAACAAGCAGAGTTTGTGTACACTTCTTTTTCTCCCCTGCTGCCTCCGTTTTTTCTTTTTTTTTTTCTTCCTCTTGCATGCAGTTAAAGAATTGATTTCTGGATTTGCTAAAGAAAGCTCATTTGGGCATTGTAATTCATGGGAAATATAGAGAGGTACCTGAGGATTTCTATCCTCAAAGTGTCAACTCAAACACCTGAAGTTTCTTCAGTGCTACTGACAATTATCATGAGCAAATATTTGTCTATCTTTCCACAATAAGGTGAGAGATCCAATGACATTCTTCCTTGTTTTCATTTAAGATTATTGCAATGATTTGTTAGCAGTTTTACAGTTTACAGTATTTACATGCTCTCCGCACTTAGGAGGAGTAATCTCAGATAAAGGTTTGAACTTCATTTTGTCTCCCTTTCCTTTTAAAAAGGATCTGAAAATGGCTGTGCAGTGTGAATAGATTTTAACTATTAAGCTCAAGATGATAAGATGTTATTTCCTGTAGCTTTGACTCATACAGCTAAAGAAACAAGCTGGATCAGAATATTGGTTTGTACAGGGGATTTTGTCCATCTCTGCTAACCCCAGCCTCAGCTCTGTTTGAAGCCAAAATACCAAGGCCCACATTTGTGTGTGGGTGCTCATTTTTTTTTTTCTGCTGCCTGGGCAGCACTGAGCTCCTCGCCATACCTGATGCAGCACGAATCTGAGTTCATGGGAGCCCCTTCTCAATTCCCAGTTGTTACCTATCTGCCAAGTAAAGGAGTCTGATTTCACCTGTTGTGGGCTGATGCCACTGCTGTCATCTGAGATTGTATGGTGAGGGGAAGAGCACTGCTTTCTCTGCAGAATTTAGAGTTCTGCGCTGAATCTGGCTGTTAAGTAAACCCAGCTCCAAATCCATGACTACAAAGCTTGGAAGTTCAGACAATTCTGGAGTTAAAATCAGGAAATACAGTTGTATTAGCAAATAATTTATCAGAGTATGTTTGGTTGTATTCATGTCTGCATTTTTCATGTAATTCATCCATCTGTAATGGCCCTTACTAGCTCAGAATATACTGAGTAAAGCATTTTGTCTATATGAGGAACAGAAGGTCAAAAGATCAGTTATCTTTTCTCGCTTCCTCTATCTCTCAGCACCTCCTTTTACAGAGTTTACACTATAACTAGGCATGGACAATTCAAAGAAGCCTTTGTATATATATATATCTACTGCAGTGTCATCACTGGAAGCTGGAGGCTGTGTACACAGTTAAGTTCTCTCCTTTGCACAGGACCTACAAATGTCAATGCATCATTAATGTCACCCTCACAGAGAGGTGTAGCTGCTGCCCAGGACTTTCAGTGGCTTTCTGCCCAAGGGTTCCTTTCATCCTTGGTGTATTATAAATGAATATAATATAGTTATCTCTTAAAAAAAAAGTATGCTGGAAAAGCTTTTGGTAATATACTGGCCTACTCTCACAGATTTAAAACTGTAGAAAGCACTGACAGCCATCTTATATTATCACATAAGATAGCATAAGGACTAGCAGAAGTAACCTTGAATAAACAGTACCTTATTCATGGGTGCTAAGGGCAAAAAAAGAAAGGGCAACTATTGTCTTCATTTTCTAGAGGCATTTTAATTAGGCATTGTAGTGAGGTTATCAGTCGCATTGCCTGGTCACAGAAGCTTTGGGAATGCAGGGCTGACAGTATTGCTCCTATTAAGTTATTTACAGCTGACGTTGGAAAGTGGAAAAGGACACTTCATCTTCTGTAAGCCAGACGTGCCATGACTGGGACACCTTGTGTGTTCAGGTGCTCCTTGGTGGTACCATCTACTGCCCTATCTGGGATCTGCAGCGAAGACAGTGAAAGTCCTTTAACTCATACAGTAAAACACAGATTGTGTAGAAATTTAGTTTGGAAGGGAAACAGTGAACTAGGTGGGGAAGGGCTCCTGTCCTACAGGAAGGAGGATGAAGGGAATTTCATGTCCAGTATGTAACAGCCACTGCTGCACAGGCAATCACTCCCTCTCTGTTTATCCATTCCTTGGACACCTTCTGTGTGCCACCGTGCATTAGGAAGCTGCATTAAATCAGCTTAGGATAAATTTATGTAGGATGTTTGGTTGCTCGGTTTTCCATGGTGTATATATTATTATGATAGTTACAGAAGAAAGGCAAAACTTCTCATCAGAAGGGAAAATGAGGGATTTGCTGCAGAGCTTGAGAGTTGTTTCCACACACTGAGGTCCAGATACAGAAGCTGTGTTTTCAAATTCAAACCTTTAGCTAAATTTTGAGGAGCCTGAAGGGAATTACAATAGCAGTCTTCAAAAGTGTAAACAGTTGCTGTGGGAGCAAGATATTTCTTGCACCTGTCGGGGATCAGAGAAAAAGTCACGGGCTTTAAAGAGCAGCAGAAGAGGCATGGGCTGGGTGTCAGAGTGAGCGGCCATAAGCTGGGACAGTTGAGCACAGCAGTGAGTGAAGACTGAGGACATTGTGTTGCAGAGATTTTTAAGACAAACTTTTCTGAGGGATGAACTCAGCCTAGCTAACTGTGCCTTGAAACAGGAGATGAAGAGGGTGACCTTTACAGGCCCTTCCAGTTGCATTGCTTCTGCTCTTGCCCTGAAATAGTTTCCTTGCTGAGGAAGGAAGCCAGTAAAGAGAGAAATAAATATTTATCTGACAAACATCCCTGATTTTTATACTTTTCTAGGAAAAAAACAAATAACGAAGAAAGAGACGGGGAAAAAAAATGTTGGTGCTATCTAACGACACAGCACTGAATTCACTCCTCTCCAAGCTGCTTCAAGACTACCTGGAACGGACAAACAGCTCTGCACCTTCGGAGGTCCAAAGTGGCGGCAACCACCTGGAAATCGTTTATGTGCTGCTGATGATCGGCTTGTTTGGCATCTTCACATTGGCAGCCACGCTGACCAACATCCGCTTCAGGAAGCTGGAGGACCCCCGTGAACCCTACAACATGTACATTGACTCAGACGTCTGGCCCAAGAAGGACATGGCATGTTTTCAGGCCAAGCTTGTAGAAAACTACAAGTTGTGCTCCGTCTTTGAAAACCCACTGGCTGTTGAGCAGCCAAACACACAGATCCCTGAGGTGAAATCCTCCTAGCCAAACAGGAGAAAGGATGACTTTCCTGAAAGGACAACCTAAACATCACCTGGTATGAACCAGATTAGTTTTTTGCCTGGCCTGCCCAAGCCAGCCTGAAAAACTGAATTAATGGAGAAGCTGACAGGTTTGTGATGACCATAGTGTTGCAAAAGTAGCTGATCACAGGTCCCTCGTTGCAGTAAGATCAAATAGGGCACACACCATCAGAGGGAATATCATGGACTCATCAGCTTCACCCAGGGAAAAATGCAAATGTTGGTGTTGCTAGTGTAAGTGCTTGCAGTAGTCCATGTAATTAAAACTGAAATGGATCAAGCATAGGCCAGAAACATTAACAGTCAAGGACAGTTTAGTCAATGCTATTTTCAAGTAAGATCAATTTCTTCAAAGAAAACGTAGCCGACTGCAAGTGACTGGGAAATAGGTTTCCACTCTGATGAGTAGTCTTATAAAATTTATGACATTTAATCATGGCTTCATCTCATGTCTGTGTTTAACTTTATACTGCTTTAGCAGTATAAATAACGTTTTCCTGTCCCTGGCCTCCTGACAGTCTCCTTCTGTGGGCCACCTCTGCTGAGCTGCTGGGGAAAAGTACCAGCCAAACTTGGCTTCTGTGGCAAGAAGTAGCAGCTGTTGGGAAAGAAAAAAAAAAAAGAAGAAGAAGACAGAAGAAACAACAACAAAAAATGCAGCTCCTTTGGACATTGTGTGATTCAAAATAGCATCCTTGCCAGCTTGAAGCCTGTTTTCTAGTTTGGGATCAAAGCAGGAATTGTCTGGGCAGAAGGGGGTTTTTATTTCTATTCTGCAGATGCACATCCCATTTTCAGCTGCTGGGCAGTAAAGAAAAGTGGGAAAGGCTTGAAAGGAAGCCATATAGAGCAGCTGCTTCAAAGGCAAAGTAAGGGCAGAGTGGGGGCAGAGGGCTGCCCAAGTGTTTGGGCAGGCAAGAGATACGAGTCACAGCATATTCCCTTTCCATCCATAGTTATTTCCTTAGCATTGCACTTTCATTAAAGCAAAACTCCAGCCATGACTGTGTTCCAGGAATAGTTGAACTTACGACAATTAAAATACTTCTTTTTCTTTTCCAAAGCCATTTATATGGCACCTACCATCAGGTTGAGGGCAAGGTACGTGGTTTAAGCGTCCTGACCAGCTGGAAAATTTCCATTAGTTCAATTATCTGAGTCACTTTTTCCTCTAAAGGAATGTAAACCAAAGCAAGTCTTTGCAAAAATGCTGACTTCCTGTCTTGGAAGAATCCTCTTCTGGGTCCTCACTGTGCAGTCTGTTTATTACTTGAATTTCCCCACATCTATGGCAGTAGAGATGCTCTTGCTTTCTGGTTCTCCAGAGACAGAAAGCAATATTGCTAAGAAGGTTTAAACTCACATTAAAAGATGACCTCTAATTGCATTAAAATATTTAAACAATCCCTCCTGAAGCTCCCCCTCTCTCCACCAGCTATTTTCAGGTGTTTGAGGTGTGGGCACTGGTCACCTTGTTTTAATAGCTTCAGTGTAATTATTTGTGACAAAGGTGATTGTCAGCATTAGTTAACTTCCTTTTTTATTTTTCTTTTTTTTTTTTGCCTGACTTTTTATTTATTCAAAGAGAAAAAAGAGGGAAACACTGTCATGTTTTCCTCTGTAGCCAGACTACAAATCATCTTTCAATAGCAGTTGTAAACACTCACCATGGACTTTCACATTACCTTTTAATCTCATAGTTCTCCTTCCTTCACATATGTTTTCCACTTCTACAAAACTAATAAAATATTAATTACACCCTTGCTTGTGGGCTCAGATATTTGTCCTCAGAGATGTTTTCCAGGCTCACAGAAAGAGTGCTAGTACTGTCTGATGGCTACTCACTCATCTTCCCTGTTTCTGCACCCTACTAACTAGGGCTGGACCTGGGCACTGAGATGGTTCTCAGCACACATACATCTGTAGAAACATCAAAATGCCAGAGCCAAACTCCTCAGGTAAAACTTAAGGTAAGTGATGCTTGGGATGGTTGGGGCATTTGAGGTTCAAGGTCCCTGCCTGGGCACACACCCCACGGGTGATGCCGTCTGTACAAACCATCAGATCTGTAGGAACCATCTTCGATCAGCCAGGATGGTCTGTTTGTGTGTTCTCTCTCAAAGAGTCTCTAAAACTCCTTCCTGTATAGCTCTGGCTTGTACAACAGCGGTTCTGGAGTGATAATGTGTACGCTAAGATGATGTCTGCATTGCAAAGCGTCCTCCTGGGCTTGTAAACACCATCCCCGCTTCCCCGTCATTACAACTGACTAATGCAGAACGGCTGACATGGGACCCACCTCAGACCGTGCTGGAGAGGAGACAGAGCACTGGCTGGCCAAGGAGTGCCTCAGCGTGTGCAATTAGTTCTTTTGCTCGTCACGCTTGCCACAGACAAAAGGCCACCAACAAAAGCCGTCACGTAATTATCATTAACCAGCGCCCACATTTTCCAATCTCCTGCTTGCTGGGGAGACTGAAGAAGCTTAAAGTCATTAGGCAAATGTGTTGCACTTTCTTTGGTCCAAGCTTTGAAAGCTTTTGCTCAGGAATACAGAATACGTAAGGAGAATATCAGAGATTATTTTTCTCAGTCAAAACCAAGCCTGATTGTAACAAGCTCTCTGTTATACATATTTGTAAAGGTTCTGTTTGGTAGGGCTGCAGAATGATCTCAAAGTCACGTGGTATAAAACCACTTGTAAAAAACATTAATTGCAGCACATGCCAAGACATGTCACACCTCATGGAGGGGAAGGTCAACCTGTGGGGAGAAGCTCCAGGGTGTTTCTTGGCTAGGTTATTTGGCCTCCATATCCTGGGTGGCCTTCATATCTCCTGCCAAACCTGTTGGGTTGCCCAAACTAGATGACACTATGTCCAGGGCAGCCCCCCCAACCCCAGGCACCTCATAGTGCCTCTGCCAGCGGTGTCCTTCACCATCTGCATGCAAAGCAGTACAGGGCAGGATGCAGGGCTTACTGGAGCAAGATTAAGTTTTCCTGAGGTTACATCGGCATGGGCCTGCACAGGTGTTGTGTGCTTGGATTGACTGCAGCTTTTAAGGCAGCCAAATGCCAGCACTGGCCATGAGAAAGCACAAGGGCAAGGCTGTGGCTAAGACATATATGCTCTGGCTCTAAGCAAGAGCAAGAAGTGGTTTACATGCAGCCAGCACAGAAGCCAGGGAAGCAAATTTGGACTTATCTGCACCAGCCTATAACCCGATGCGCACAGCCTTCCCTTAGTACACCCACAATGAGAGCACATGTCTGTCTTTGCTGCAAACCTGCTTTCCCCTCTCATGAGGCTGGATAGCTTCAGGCCCTAGTTCCTGTTGCCAGCACACTGAGAGCTTATGTTTGCAGCAGCTGGCTTTTGATTATACCCAGCAGAAATCTTTTCTGCTGCAGGTACAAAAGATCAAACCTCTGGTATTAAGTACTCCATCAGCAAAATACTTCACAGGCACAAGCAGTCGAAGTGGGCAAGTCTGAAGTGAGTTTGCCCCCCACCCTTTATTCTTTTGAATTCACTTTATAGTTATCAGTGTTATCTTTATTTGCAGTTGGTTAGGTCAGACTTGCTACATGGGGAAACCATGCACAAAGACAAGCAGGAGGAAACCGATAAAAATAGAAGATATGAGCAATCAGAAGTAAGCAGCACATTCTTTACAGTTGATAACTGGATTAGTAATTATCTTACATTATAATCCTTTGGCATCCTGTTTCATTTTTACACTTTGTTATCGCTGCGCCAAACTCACTCCCTAATTTCCTTATCCAGCTGGAGTCATCGTCTACGCGTGTGAAACCTCCATGAAGCCTTTCTCAAGCAGTTGCTCAAGGGACCAGCACAAATGCGATGCCCTGTATCGCAAAAGGTCACGCTGCATTTCACTGAGGACGTGGGCAGGAGTCTGTTCCTTGAGATCAGAGTTGTCCTCTGAGCTGCATTCTTGGACAGGTCCAAGCAGAAAAATGGCCCTAGTCAAGTGTCTTCAAATGACACAAAACAAAGGCCCATAACCTGCCGAAATGCTCCAGTAAAGTACTTATTCTTGCCAGCCCTAGGGCAAAGCTTGCAGCCTTGTTGTTTTTAAAAGACAGCTTTCAACAGTGTTTATGAATGCCCTTCAGATCAAAGAAAAGGCAAGATGTACATAGATGGAAAGTACACGAGTGCTAAATCTAGAAGCGAATATTACGACCATCTGATCTGATTCAGCAGAATCAGGAGAAGAAGGGCCAAAGACTCCCTGAAATACAAGCCCAGAACTTCTGGTTGGGCCACAGCATGTTATTTTTAGGGGCACACCCTGGCTCCATCCCTAGAATTAAAACACTGGCCAGAGGCCACCAACCTTCCACAGTGAAAAGCCAAGCAAAATAAAATGGGATAGGTTGATGTAAAAGCCCTTGTTCTAAAAAATGCCTAATTCAGTATTCGTCCCACGGGTTGCAACAGTAGTATTACAGCAGGTACACCACACACCACTGAACACAGCTGACCTTTACAGAAATACATTATTTGATATTGCCTGACGTCCCACAGATGGATTCTTGGAATATTTTAGCTCTATTTTTTTTTCTAAATACTTGCACACTTTTATGAGAAAAACACAACTTCCTAGCCCACCTGCAGGCATTCATCCTGGTTTAACCCCAAAGCTAAGAAGAGCATGGTTACCTGAGGTGGAGGTAACGCTCATCTGCTCAGTATGTGTCCTTCAGCAGCATCTCTCCTGCCTCCCTCCACTACAAAATCCCCTATCAAATCTCCCTTCTCTTCTCTCTGGTCCTGGCCAGCTCCCCAGCCTTCCCAGCCAACCCCAATAGCCCCTACTAGTCTCTCCCATCTCTAACTCTGCAAGTCCTTGGTGGGCAGAATTTAGCGTAACCCTTTGGCCAAAGCAGGGCCGTATCAGGAGGATCTACCCCATTGTTCCCAGAGACCTGGC